CTAATCTGTTATTGGCCGATTGCTCAAAGCCAGCCTATGGGGCCTGTGTTAAAGCATTGTGGTTCTGTATTGGACCCACTAACTAAGTCAAAATGAGTTTCTATTCTGTTATTGGTCGATTGCTCAAGGCCGGCTTATGGGGCCTGTGTTAAAGCGTTGTGCTGCTGTATTGCACCCCCTAACTAAGTCTGATTGTGTTTCTATTGTTATTAGCCGATTGCTCCAGGTCAGCCTGCGGGACCTGTTTTGAAGCGTTGTGCTGCTGTATTGGACCCCCTAACTAAAGCTGTACCAGGACTAATGGAGGGTCTCTTTCTGATGGGTAAAGTCAAGTTCCTCTCTGGTGATATTGACGCTGCACAGAGTACATTACAACACTGTCTAGATATTAATCCCACGTTCTCAGATGCTCATTTGCTAATGGCACAGGTATGTCAAACGTAATCTGATTGGCTATTGGAACAGGTATGTCAAACATAATCTGATTGGCTAATAGCACAGGTATGTCAGAAATCACCTGATTGGCTAATGGCCCATGTATGTAAAAAGTAATCTGATTGGTCAATGGCACAGGTATGTCAAAAATCACTTGATTGGCTAATTGCACAGCTATGTCAAAAGTCACCTGGTTTGGTAATGTCACAGATATGTCAAAAGTTATCTGATTGGGTATGTCAAAAGTCACTTAATTCGATAATGGCACAGGTATGTAACAATTGATCTTATCGGCTAAGGACACACATACGTCAAAAGTAATCTGATTGGCTAATTGCACAGCTATGTCAAAAGTCACCTGATTGGCTGTTGGTACAGGTATGTCAAAAGTTATTTGATTTGGTATGTCAAAACTCACTTGATTGGATAATGGCACAGGTATGTAAAAAGTAATCTGATTGGCTAAAGGCACAGGTATGTAAAAAATCACCTGGTTTGGTAATGTCACAGATATGTCAAAAGTTATCTGATTGGGTATGTTAAAAGTCACTTGATTGGATAATGGCACAGGTATGTAAAAAATAATCTGATTGGCTAATTGCAGAGCTATGTCAAAAGTCACCTTATTTGGTGATCGCATGAATTTTTGAAAACAACTTGACCAGAAACTAAATTAAAAACTAGCAACCGGTTAAAAAATACTGTAATGATAACCAAGATTCAAAGTAATAGCATTGTAGTTAAACTTTTTTTGTGTGTGTACAATAACTTTTCCATATTTCTTCATAGATTTATGCACATCAAGGTAGTTTCAAGCAAGCCTCACAGTCCTTGGAACAGGGATTGAGTTATAATTTTGAGGTCAGTATAACTATTATGATGATTTAAACCACGTCTCTGGGTGTATAACATTTTAACGCGCGGTAGTCGTTGCGCATGTGCGACATTCGTGTTGATAAACATTGATTTTCCCACAATCCAATGTGCTCTCAAATGGAAATCACAAGTATGAGGTTTGACCTGGGTGCGACTTGCACTGATTACCGCCGGTGACTCTTTTGATATTTTCCAAACACCTAAAAATTACCTAATTAAAGCTTGGAATTGTCACAGTTTGTACTCGCTGATCTTCAGTCAACAGTCAAAGTTGCCATCTTTGTTTATATGAGACCCATATTTCTCGTGCATGCGTGCCGCGACTACTACCGCGCTTTAAGATATGGTGGTCAGATTATAATATGGGAAATTGCAATCCATGTTGATGCATTTGACGTAAGGTTGAGTGCTCATTTCGACAGTCAGAATTCATAAAGTATTGTTTTTATCTAGTTTCTAGTATGCTATTGGTTTTTCATTATATTCAATGACAAGTTCCTCTCCCATAATGCATTGCATGTATGTGCAGTAACATGCTCAGTGGAGCAAAATTTGGATTTCTATCCCATAATGCATTGCATGAATGTGCAGTAACATGCTCAGTAGAACAAAATTTGAATTTTTATCCCACAATGCATCACATGTATGTGCAGTAACATGCTCAGTAGAGCAAAATTTGGATTTATATCCCATAATGCATTGCATATATGTCCAATAACATGCTTAGT